AAAGCTTGCGGAAGTCAGAGGAAAGCTTGCGGAAGTCACCTCTCTTCTTCTACCATGTGGGTCTCGGGGATTGAACTCTGCTCGTCAGAGTTTATCAGGTGGTAAGAGCCTTTACCTGCTGAGCCACCTTGCTGACCCTACATATCCCAACTTTTAACATTTTCATCACCCCCTCCCTTTTCCTTCTCTCCCTGCCTTCTTTCTTTTTTTCCGGAGTCTATGGGTGTATACATTTCTGTCCATCATTGTTTTTGAGCCATTTGAGAGGGGTTGCAGACATAATGCCTCTCCGTCCCGTGATACTTCATCATGTATTTCCCAAGGACATCGACCTTCTCTTTCATGAGTCACCAGAACATTTAATACCATCAGCAGTTAATTTTATCCTAATTATATCATCACTTCTATTTGTGTTTTTTTTGTTTCGGTAGGGATGTTGATAGAGTATCTTACTATGTAGCCTAAGCTAGCCTATGATTTGCTGTATAACCCAGGCTGGTCTCAAACTGGCGATCCTGCCTCTGTCTTCTGGGTGCTGGGATGACAGGCCCAAGTCGCTGTGCCTGACTCTCCCGCTAGCGGGCTTTCTGTTTTTCTCCCCCTTGGTATAGAATCTCAGATATCCCAGGCTAGCCTTGAACTTGCTATTGTAGCTGAGGATGACTGACTTTCTGCCGCTATTGCTTCCTAAGTGGTGGGATTACAAGACGTGGTGCGTGCCAGGCAGGCACTCTACCACCTGAGGGCCTGTCACCCCCGTTAGTGTCCCTTGTCGTTTTCCTCCCTACTTTAGGACCCAGTACAGGATGGTGTGCGGCACCTCACGGTCACTGCCCTCTAGTCATCTTGACTCTCCAACAGTTCCCGATGTGTTGTTTGCCTTGTGTGACACTGGTATTTTTAAATACTAGCCTTTAAAAAATTAAGTATAGATCAGTTCACTTCATGTTATTTTCCTATATAAACATTCTCAACGAACGTGTCTGTTTTTTTTTTTTTTAATGCTAAAAGCGGGAGTGTTTCTGTGAACTCACTTGTTTAGTGTCCTCTCTTGGCATTGTTTCTGTTGGGTGTGTGCCCAGAGGTGGCATACCAAGGCAAGAGTTATGCCTGACGTGCTGAAAGGCTGAAAGGAGAAATACTGAGGTGAGTGCAGTGTCTCACATCTCCTTGTGGCTTTGCCAACACTCACATTGGTGTGTGCGTGCGTGCGTGCGTGCGTGCGTGCGTGCGTGCGTAACAGTAAAAGAGTTTTGTGAAGGTACGCTAAGATTTTCCACTGGGAATGTCAAGTAGTTCAAGTCCTGTTTACTTCCCCTTAATCTTAAACTTTATTGTCTTTCTTTACTCGTCCCCCCACCCCCCAGTAGTGTTTCTGTTTCATTTTGTTACGTTTGCATGGTTAATGTGAAGTTCTAGCAAGGTAGGTAGGGCACATGCTATTATCCTGTTTCAAGCTGATGAAAGCAGGGCGCTCCACTGGCTGGCGAGGACTAGGGACGCTCCGCTCCGGCTCCTGGCATAGATGGGAGGTGGTCCCTGGGAGCCCAGGGCTCTTGCTGGCTCTGCTTCTTTGTCTCTGCTTGTATGAGCAGCTAGGACAGTTCTGCCTGGAAGCGTTCGGACAGTGCCCTTGGGAGAGTGGGCGCTTGAGGTAGGCGTGCTTTTGAAAGGAAACCAGGGGAAGCTCTTATTCTCCCCCTTGCTGGGAAACCAGAGTGGGGGCCCCCCGAGGCTCCCCAACAACTCACCTGCAGCGAGTCACCCAGGGTTCTAAAGGACAAGCAGTGCAGGTGGCAGCATCCAGGGCCTTTTAGAGAGGGACAGCCACAGCCTCCTGCCTCTTTACATCACCCAGGCCCAGTGTCAACTTGGACAGCCTCTCAAACCTAAGCGCTTTATTCCACGTTGTCTAGTCCAGGGGCCAGAAAACTGCAGCCCTGCTTGAAGGATCTGAATGGGCCTCTGTGTGACGGGCCTGCAGCTGTTTTGTTTTTTTTTTTTTAATTTTAATGTAATTATTTTTGTGTTTGACTAAGTCTTTCACTTTGTAACTCTGGCTCTAGACCAGGCCAGCCTAGAACTCACAGAGGTCTGCCTGCCTCTGCCTTGTGTACGCTGGGATTAAAGGTGTGTGCCGCCATGCCCAGCTAGCACAGGTTTTACAAGTGAACTGTTCCAGTGGGTTTGATGGTGGGGAGGCTCCAACCTAGACCCTTAAGCAAGAAAAATGTTACCTGTACCCCCACTTCCATCTGGGGACCCATATTCTTTAAAAAGTCCTTAGTTACTTAGTATATGTCAAATTACAATCACTTAAAAACTTACAGAAATCTTGCTTTCTTCCCTGTTATATAATAATAGCCAGATAATCATGTGGATTTTGCCTTTTGGTCCCCGGTGCCTCAAATATTTACCATCTGGCCCTTTGCTGAGAAAAATACGCCTGCTCCTGTTCCCCTTCAAGAGCACTGACTGTTTACACAGCAGAACTCGTTAAAGTGGACAGCCAAGGAGGGGAAGGAACTGGGGTACAAACAGGTCTCAGTGAAAGGGGAAGGGGAAGAGGGGTGAACGGAGGCCCCCGGTCCCCTGCTCTGCTGTCCCTCTCACTGCCCATACAGGGCCCCCGGGCAGTCAGGGCTCAAAGAAGCCTCATTTTGGAACAGCCTGTACACCCAGGTGAACCCTGCCATTCTCAGAGAGTGACCGAGACGGGGAGAAGGGAAGGGGTGTGAGCACCAGGAACTGTCCTCTCTAGACCTCACTCTGCACTAGGACGAGGGCCCCCTGGCCTGCCTTAATCCTGCAGCCAGCCCTCTGGGGTGCTGTGAGTTCTTCCGGTTTTATAGTTGAGAAACAGACTTAGAGAACTTAACCAGCTAGCCACCAGGAGTCAGAGCTGGGATTTGCCAATGACTCCTGATTCTGGTCCCATGCTCCCTTTAAGGTACTGAGTTGCCTAGCCTTTTCTTCCCGCCTGTGACCCTCAGAGAGCAAGGAAGAAGATTGATCAGTGCCTTTGGTAGGTTACTGGGTATCTGCTGAGAGTCCCCTTGTCCTGGTCCAATCCATGGCTGAGATGGCTTCTTGTCATACCCCAATGACAGTAACTAACCTGAGGCTCTGGTACCCTGATCTGGAGTTCTGAGCTGCTGAACTCTAGTAGGCTGGGCACAGGGCCTGGAGTGGACAAAGTGACCTTCTGTCTTTAGGTCATTTATGCTTAGCACGTTGGGGTGAATGCAGGCGGAGAGGAGACCATCATCAATGTGGTTCTTGGTAGTGTGGTATTCCTACCACCTTGGAGGTGCCTGGGCGGAGAGAACTGGGGTACCGGGTGAGAGCAGCTGGGACCCAAGCTGGAGGACAGCCCGGGGCCAGAGCCCAAAGGGCCCATCCTAGCAGCTCTACTCTTGAGCGCTGGAGTCACCAAGTCCACATAAGATCCCGGCTCAGCCATTGTGAAACGTTTGCTGGGAGCAGCTTGGCTCTCTTATAGGCTGGGTTTATTTGTCCTGATAATGGTCGTTAATTCACAGGGCTGTTAAAACACCACATGTGCAATAGGAGTCCTCCATGTTTTCCATCTTTTTGGGATCCCTATCCTTTAACATCCAGTGTCCAAATCAAAAGGAACAGTCCTGGACCACTGGCACATGCCTTTAATCCCAGCAGTTGGGAGGCAGGGGCAGGCAAATCTCTTGAGTTTGAGGCCAGCCTGCTCTACATGGTGAGTTTCAAGCCAGCCAGGGCTACATAGTGAGACCTTCATAAATAAAGGCAGCTGTGGTGTGTGTGTGTGTGTGTGTGTGTGTGTGTGTGTGTGTGTGTGTGTGTGTGTTCAGCAGTTAAGAGTACTGTTACTCTGAATTTGAGTCCCAGTACCCACACAGTGACTTACAAGTAACTGCCTTTAACTCTAGTTCCAAGGGATCAGATACCTTCTTCTGGCTTCCACATGTACCCACATATTCCACATGGTGCACACATATGCATGCAGGTATTCATATATACACATACAATAAAAATAAATCTCTCTCTCTCTTTTTTTTTTTTTGGTTTTTCAAGACAGGGTTTCTCTGTGTAGCTTTGCGCCTTTCCTGGAGCTCACTTGGTAGCCCAGGCTGGCCTCGAACTCACAGAGA